CAGACTGAACACACACCTCGCTGGATGGAACAGTAGGTGAGAACACACACAAAGAACCAGGGGACATGAATGGATCAGACTGGTGAAATTTGTAGAGGAATGACATAGGGGAAAATTGCAGGAATCAGGTAGTGGAAACAACATCTACAACCGAGACTGGAAGCTCGGTGCGAGGTGTGTGTGTTCAAGTAGCAGAACTGTAGATAAGAGAAAGGCAGTAAATGTATGTGATTAGTAATTACGTGCAGTATTATGGGGAATGTAGTGCAGATACAGCGTCAGGTGACAAAGCTGGTTTTCGTGGCTGGCAACATACAGTAGGTAGCATTTTAAGGCAACATGGGCCTTGCCCCCAACATAGCTTTAACAATGCTTTCCAAATTTAATTGCATTGAAAAGCAGCATGACAAGTGTATTTCACAGAGAGGGCAATGCTTTGTGATGAGATCAGTGGAAATGTAATAACCTAGAAAAATGTCTAACACTTGATGGCTGCTCTGTCAAGTCTTTGCATCAGTTAGGAACCTGGGTGTGCTCTTTAATAGCAATCTTTCATTTGAAAGCCACATTTATAGCATCTGTAAAACCGCATTCTTCAATCTTAAAAATAAATCTAAACTACGCACATGCTCTCAATGACAAATGCAGAAAAGTTAGTTCATGAGTTCATGACCTCAAGGCTAGATTATTGTAATGCTCTACTTGGGTGGTTGCCCTGCACGCTTAATAAACAAACTCTCTAGAGGGTCTCTAATAAACATCATATAAATGTAAAAAAATTGCTAATCACTTAAAACCACTAAATGGTTTAGCTTCGCAGTACTTAAGCAAGCTCTTAAGCCAAGGCATAACAGTCCTTCACGTCTATTGGAAAATAAAAATTCTGGCCAGTTGATAATACCTAGAATGTCAAATTCAACTGCTGGTAGAAGATCCCTTTCCTATTTAACTCCTAAACTCTGGAACAGTCTCCTTAGCATTTGTTTGGGAAGCAGACACACCCTGTCATTTTAAATCTAGACTAAACACATCTATTTAACCTTCCATATAGTACATATGGAAGGTTATAATACATTAACACATATCTATAATTCACATCCATTAAAGGATTGTTAGACTCCATAAATGAGGTCAACCAGAACCGGGAACACTTCCCATAACATCTGATGTACTTGTTACATCATAAGAAGAATGGCATCTAAGCTAATATTAGTCTTTCTGTTTATCCCGAGGTTACCGTAGTCAGCGTATATGGTCCATATCCAGATCATAGGTGGACCTGTGCCTAGTGCAACTACAACACAGGCCTGAATGTCAGCAGAGATCCTGTCAACTAGACAATCCCCTGTGAAGGCCTCGTCGACGCGACAGCCATCGGCACAGATCCTGAGCAAAGACCACAAGAACCAGACAAGTCCTCTGCACGTGAGTTATGACCAGCTTCATCTCCATACTGGCATGATGAATCCAATCTTCAAGCAAAAGGAACTGGATGAAACATCATTTTGACATAAGTTGTTTTTCAAATAAAGTTTTCCAAGTCCGTGCTATAAGATTGTGTCTATGTATTTTTTTGATGTATTTACCCTTTAAATTCATGGAACACGATAACAACGAGCACCACTTTAATTTGCGGTTGCAATGTCACACTTACCTTGTAATTACATGGAACAAGAGGGAAACTGTAACATTGGGTCAGGAATGAAGCAGAGAGTGAATCCAATCACAAGCACTTTATTAACTAAACAAACAAGAAACATAGGGTAAACGACAAAAAAAAAAAAAAAAAAAAAAAAAAAAAAAACTCAGACCAGGAACATGGAACTCAGCTACAGGTAACAACAACTGAGGAACAGTGGCATAAATACACAGGCAAACAAGCTAAACAAGATAACAAGTGGCTACCCAGATAGCAAACTGACATTGAATCAACGTGGAAATATGACATCGAAACAACGTTGATCTGACATTGTTTTGCTCATCGAATTCTTTCAAAACTAACGGAAAATCAACTTGAAATCAACGCATTGTTTCAACGTTATGAAAGCAAACCAATTTTCGATTTTCATTTAGCTTTGAAGAATGCCGCGTCTGACGTTGGTTCAACGTTAATTCGATGAGCAAAATCAACGTTGTTTCAATGTCATGAGAGACGTCGTTTCCACGTTGATTCAATGTCAGTTTGCTGTCTGGGTAATCAGAAACGCATGGGAACAATGATCAGACAATTAACAAGAAACATGGAAAACATGGAAATCACATGACAGACCAGAACAACGAACAAGACACAACCCACACTGTGACAGAAACAAGCACCACTTATCCTATAACTACATGGAACAATTCTATTTAGTATATTTCCCCAGTATTAAAAAAATGCAATTGTTTTAAACAAGTAAGCCCAAACTAAAACATCTGCACCTTTGCTATCCAAAAAGAGAGAACATACTGTATAAATGCACAGATATGTACCCTGTAAAAGAAAAAAAAAGCCTACACAATTTTTACAAAAAGGTACACTTCTGTTCTTGTTAAATTTCTCCCAAATGTGAGATTTTTGTATCATAATAGTAGAAAAAGCACCCCTTAGTTCTAATACTTTAGTATAAATACTACTACAGTATAAATAATTTGTAAGTTCTCCTGGTTGTTACTAGCCTGGTTCAACCAGACTCTTGTACATTTCATTTGTACAGAGAGTCTGGCCTCTCTGCATTGAGAAACATTTACTGTACGTCCTTGTAGGCGGGTTCTCTGTTAAAGTTCAAAACTAGTGGATCTGCCCAGAGTCACTCAGGATCTACCATAGCCAATCGCGAACGTGTGGTCATGACGTATGTCATGTGCTGAAATGGCTGGAAACAACAAGTCCGTGTTTACAATATGATTTCTGTCAACGAGAGCTGCAGGTTTTGTTAATCTAGAAACAATTCTTAATTCGAAATGAAAGGACAGTGATGTATTCATTCAACTGTCGAAGCTGGGTCTAATCATTACAAATATGTGGACGCCGCTGCGGTCGTTTCTGATCTGCCGCAAATGCCGTACAGTGAATGATCCAACCCTGTATCACACTAAATACGTTCTGAGGAAACTATTTTGCAAATCGCAATTACGTTACATGCCAACATATAAGCAGTGCTATTACGTTGGTCCTTAACGTAATATGTCTCATTGTTAATACGTAGATTTAATACGTTATTTTCAAAGATATGTAACGTACGTTTTTGTACGTTTGGATAGATGCTAAAACGTATAATATGGACGTATTTGCAACATTTAAACGTAACCTTATTACGTTTTTACAGCTACAAAACGTTAACTATTTACATATGTTTCATATCATAACGATATCTGTATACTTTCACTTTTAAAGATAAATGTAACAAGACCCCTTAATCCTACTCCAAAAAACATATTTATTTTATACAGAATATAAAAAGGATAAAACGTAATGGACAGAGATGTGTAGTTAAATGAGTTTTAGCATTAAAATATATTTTGAGCCACTAATCCCACTCCTATCCCTAAACCTAACCATAACCATTCCTTAAAACTACGTAGGTAACACAATTAATAAAAAAAAAAAACGTAACAGACAGATAGATTTCACAATAATTTATTTATTTATTATTAACATTACCAAAAGTCGTTCACATGATGATGCGTTGCAGTCGCAGTCCTCTGGCAGTATTATAGTAGTTGTGTATGAGGTACAGATCAGAATTAAAGTTATTAACGTTAATCCAAAATGTTAATCTGATTTCGGTTCGCTCTCTGTCTGAAGGCGCGCTTTTCTCCATTTCAAATGTGAAGGTACTACACCGACTGAAACACGGCATGTCGCAATCTGTGACGAAGCAGGCGAGAGCCAATGAGCGTTTGATATCACTGCCGTAAAACATGTCGTAACGCTTCTTGAAGGCGCATTATTTGAATTTGAATTAATCACCAGCGCGGATTTGACGTTTGCGGTCGCAGCTGAGAAATGAAGATGAAGATCACTGGATAAAAGGCTGGATTTGGATCTGTTTCTTGCAAACAACGTATGGATTCTAGGATTTGGTTTACATCAAGCTAATAAAATGTATGTCTTTTGTGAATGTATCAGTATGTTGTGTTTTATTGGAGAAAATGCTTTTTATATATTTATGAGTAACGTTGGTCTATTTTATTAATAAATGCGAAGGAAAACTTAATTGATATGACAGTTGAATGCAAAAGAGTCAAAATTTTAATGCCACGATTATGCATAAATAGTAAAGAAACCTGCTTGGATGTATTATGTTCAGGAAAAACGTAATAGCACTGCAATAGTATTACGTTAAGGACAAACGTAATAGCACTGCTTATATGTTGGCATGTAACGTAATTACGATTTGCAAAATAGTTTCCTCAGAACGTATTTCGTGTGATACACAGTTGGAATGATCTGTCTCTATCTGCAGATGTGTAATAAAGAACAATTTTGCATATTATGTCTTATTGTTTCTTAATTACTTAGATTTTTATTTATGACATTTAGTTTTTTTTATTAAAATAAATTGTTTCACATTTTTATTTGTGATTTTTTTTTAATTACAACTTAGAATGATTTCCAACATGTAAAACTGACACACCAACCATGCTCCTGCACGAGTGCACAAAGGGGCTCAAAGTGTTCTATTCGTCTTGTGATTCAAATTGAATCACTAAATTTACTGTTGAGAATCTGAGCTACTGACATGACTCCTGAGTGCATCTTCAACAACAGTTTAGCAGCCAGGACTCGGGGCTTCCGAACACCAGGCTAAAGCGTCTGTCAAAAATGTCACGGTCATTGTGCACGCTGAGATGCCCAGCATGAACTCCTAACTTTTCTGCGTCCTTTGGTCCTTCGTTAGTGCAACAAGAGGGGAGACGAAAACAACTATCGGCTTTGCAACCCTATCGTTCACTTTAGCTAACTCATTCACTGTTACCCATAAATGATAACATTAACTTGGATTTTGTGTTTTCTCTTTCTTTATTCCACTTGTGTAGAACTCACAATGTACACATAAGTGTGTGTGCGCGGTCAAACTGTAAATACAAACAATTCACATTTAGTATCCAGTAATGTTTTCACTTCTCCAAATAAGTTTCTATAACATAACATCAGCTTAGATGATAAACATTAAAGTATATATATATATTTATAAATCAAAGATATTCCCTACAATGCAAATATCACACGTGGTAGACAATGTAGCATATTAAACATTATCACATAGGAATAATAAACTATCAATACAGATTTCTAAACATTCGCTGTATTATAAACACCTATTAAACTTTGTAAATGCTACACATATTGCATATATATTTAAAATAGGCAATTTAAACTAAAATGTCTATCCAAACATAATAAACAAACTAATAGCATAGGCGTTTAGGCGCTAATCACAAATAGCGATCTACATAGTGCTTTTATCAATATACTTATAACAACAACATGTGACTTACCACGCTGGGAATATATAGTTTAGATTAAGGTCTTAGTTGTAATTGTTGTAGAACATTAGAAAGTCTGCAAATGAGCATCAACATTGCTTTCTCACTTAGTTCGGTTCAGTTCCGTTTTTTTTTTTTACGCGATCACATGGGCCCACAGAATCAACGTCCTTAAAGGGGCAGCACCCTACATGATTCACCACTAGCAGAGTGAGCTGGAAAATCAAACTTTTCCCGAACCCTGTGGGGAGGAGGGCCACAATATCATGACCACCAACAAAACTTAATAAACATTGTTCTTGCTCCGGCTTTAAATTCTGTATATTCGGAAGTTTTCCAACAACGGACCGAATAGCTTTTCTCACTTCTTCTCCGCTGCCATTACTGAACTCCAACTGATGTGCTACATCAACATAATCGTTTTCAGCCACTCCCTCTATTCGCTGATTGGTCCTACAAAAAATTGATTTCTGGAAACCTAAGAATATGCAGCAGTCCCAGAAAGTTCCCAAAAGTTTACATATTGTTCCCTTATACTTACACATAATAGTACACTATAATAACTGAGAGTTACGCTGTAAATTCGCCTTAATTACACAGTACTTTGCGGGCTGTAATCTAAGGTGTTACTTCTCATTCTATTGAATTGAATTGAGCCTTCGTTCGCTTTATGTATGATGAATTGGGTTGTTGCCCAATTGATTTCATTGGAGTTAGGATGCTGCCTGTAGAGCTGCTAGCAGACAGCAAAGCAGCTCACTGGGTTTTGGAACAAAGCATAATTCATTGGCTTTTCCAACAGAGGTAACACAAGTTCAGCTGCACCAACTACAGCAGAGATGGAGAAAAAAAAAAACATCTGTCATATCCGGAGGGTGGGTGTGTTTTTCGATCATAGCATTTAAACAAGGATGTGTTCTAAAAATAAACCATGTGGGAGAGCTCCTGCTCTGACAGTTTACCATGAGATTAAAAATTGATGTGTGTGTGTGTGTGTTATGCTAACCTCTCACCACAGGTGGACTCCATTTCGACACTTTCCATCACTCTTGCCAAATTGAAGCTTTATTACATTATAAAGTTGACTGCCCACTGTAGTCGATAGCTGTCTGTCACTTGCCATTGTGCCAGATATCATATTGACATTTCACAAATGAGATTGGGTGTCATTTGATTAGATCCGAAGCGAATGTTTGATGCCCTTGACTGGCATGGACTGCAAACTACCCCAAAGGAGATATTTGCTTGTTGGAAAAGGTGTGTTGACATGAGGAAAAGGCTGATTTGGCTTGGTGTATGTGAGTGATATTGTCAATGCATATATTCCATAAGAGTGTGATGTGTGGAATGTCACACAAAGAATTCTAAGAATGCAAGTTTATGGCTTTTCGATGTAAAGTGTAAAATGATTTGTTATTTTTTCCTTCCAAAAGCAGTACATTTACCATTATTTTACAAGTACTATAAAAGTACACGAAATGTAAGGCTACATCATTACAGTTTTCTCCATAGTAAGGGAACTGCCTAGCCAACATTTGTATGTGGGGCCAATATGGGTATAAAATGGGCTGAAAAATGGGCCCAATGTAGGAATTTCCGCTTGTTACATAATGGCCCAATGTTGTTCACAAGACCCATTTCAGTCCCAGCTGCCCATATTTGTATGTGGGTTTGAAATGGGCTGAAAAATGGGCTCTGTATGGGATTGTCTGTGGGTTCCATGATGGCCCCGTGTTAATGCCCAGATGGATTTCATGTAGGATTGCACTTGGTACTAGGTGGGACCCGAGTGGGTACATCTCGTCTCTATACATTCTGTCTCCCTTGCCTCCCCTGAGCACATTGAGTTGCACAACTGACCCTCTAAAGCGTGCTCTGGGTTTAGTGAGGGGTTATTGAGAATGAATGGGGGAAAGTCACATGAGGAGCAATGCTATGATTGGATATAATCGGTTATGATTGGATATGATTGGCTTGTACGATAAATTGCCTCTTGTTTTCGGGCGAGTTTGCCTGAATGAAGAAATGGTAAACAGTAATGGGAAAACTACTTAAAAAGTAAGAAAACACCTCCCCCGATTATATATCAAGGCTTTATGTCACGTCAAAATACAACTTGAAATGACTGTGGGGGGTTTTAGTAAACAATCAGCTTGGTGAAATTAAAGGTAGCCGGACATTTTCGTATCTGTGACTTGTGTTTAAGGAAGCTGATGAATTACAAATAAAATATATTGTTACTGACTTGAGATATTATTTTGGAACATAAAATGTGTAAAAACACTAATTTGATTTGATTAATGAATATACATTGATTAAACATGCATTAAACATTTGTTGTTTTTTTGTTTCATCAAGTATTTTTAGTTTACAGAAACGTTTATTTTTATATAAGAGAAGTCACAGACAATTTTGTGACAGGTAGGATTCAGTTTACACTACACGTCCATTTTTATGGTCTCCGAAAACAGTGATTGAAGACTGTTGTGATTGGTTATCGAAGTCACATGTGATCCAAGTTGGCCGTTACGCACATAGACATAATATATACATAGACGCCCTATTGGCCGCTTTGGAACGTTGCTGCGATACGTCAACGGGTCCGCCATTTTGCGGAGGTCAAGACTGCATTGTAATTAAATGTAAGTAAACGGGTGAGCTGCGTTTTTCTGGATAAAAACATTCTTGGATAAGAATGGTGAAGATCCCCATACTGAGATATTTAAGTTTGCTCATTGTGGAAAAAAGCATTTTATGTGATTGACCAGATTTTCGCAATAAAATTGATAACTGATGGATCATTCATTTATGATAATACATATGTTGTGGTACAACTGGGCATGCAGTGCAATGCAAATAGTTGATTAAATTATAACATAAAGTGAAAAGTACTAGTAAATAGTTTAGTCAATAAAATAAACAAATAGTATACAGCAAATAAAATGGTAATGAATACATGTAAAAATATTGATAATAGTTTATTAATAATTCTATAATAATAGCAATAGAATAAGACATTTCAACTACAGAATAAACACACACAAAAAATATATTTAATATTTAGCTCTTTGTGCTAAATTTCAGTTTTATTGATCAGTAATAGGCTAGCCATTATAACAGAAGTAGCTTCAGTCAAACACAATGTTAAAATAGCCTAAATATAAAGTTATGAAACTTTACTTTGCCTTCAGCCAAAACTATTTACCAGGAAACCATTTATAGATTAATGAGACCAAAGATAAACACAAATTATACGAATTATATCTCACGTTTAACCTCTAGAGAGACATCCGAGCCAGCGGCAACCGTCAGAAGCACTGGCCGTGGTACGGCTGTTCCAGGCGGGGGAGACGAGCGCTGGGCGGGGGGCGCAGCAACTCCGAAAACTTAAGATCAAATTTTTAAATAGGCTCTATCTTTATAAACAAACCACATATTTGAGCTTTAAACAACTACATTGTCGACTGAAAAACTATTAAAACTACATTGCGTGACACAATAACAGTAGTATTTAATCTCTAAACGTTACTTACTCATTAATTCATGACCAAATACAACCAAAAAAAAAAACGTTCAGTCTTGCTTGTGAAAGGTACTTCCTCGAAAGCTGTTTTCAGTTGTGTGGCGATTTTTACAGCCCCAAGCAGCGCACAAAACAGGCATTTTTCTCAATTCCCGGTATGAGAGGTATGGGAAAGTTGATCTCCCCAATATGGCGGCGCCGTTGACGTACGCTCCAGCGGCCAATAGGGTGTCTATGTATATATTATGTCTATGGTTACGCATTCTTCAGTGGTAGATGCATGGACTCACAATGTATACATTAAACGCACTGATGCTGACACAGCTGGTTCTCAAGAATGTATTTCTTTAAGTTTTTAGAGAAATGGTTCACATCTGCAGACAGCTTTAAACTGTTGGGGAGTTGATTCCATTGTTTCATGGTTTTAAATGAATAAGCTGTCTGTACAAAGGCGGATGATCTTTTCGGGATAGCCAAGTTTTTATGAACCGTTGATCGAGAAGTTCGATTTGTTTGTTCCGAATAAAATTTTATGAAACTTTTCATTAAGGGTGGAGCGAGGTTATTAACAATTTTAAAAACAGTTCTTAAATTTGTAAATAAAATTAGGGAATCAAAACTTAATACTTTATATTTCAGTAAAATGTTGCAATGATGATAGTGCTGGGTTTTTCTGTCAAGCACCTTTAATGCCTGATTATAGACTGATCTAAGTGGTTTAATTGTGGTTTCGTTCGCCTGAGACCAACAGGACAAACAATATGTGATGCGTGAGGAAATCATAGCATTAAAATATATGAAAGCTGCCTCAATTGTCAAACGATTCCTAATGTGTTTAAAAATAGAAATATTATATTTAATAGAGTTAGTCATTCTTTTAATATGTTTTTTAAAACTTAACGTTTGATCTAGATGGACACCTAAATATTTAATCTCACATGATTTGTGAATCATTTGTTTGGGAGTGGAAAATGCACAGTCGTCTCTGGAGAGAGGCGGTTGCCTACTTTGCAAGCATTTTACAATGAAAAACTTAATTGCATACAGTATATCAATGTTCTAATCACCAGTGAGACAACCTTAGCAATGTTGCATTGCAATATTTTCTTTTGAAAGTGTAAAAATATTGATTTCCATACTATTTACTATTAAAGCATTCCAGTTTATGGAGCTTTGCTAACAAATTACTAGACAAAAGCGATTTTTTAGATTATTGCATTATACATAAGAGAATAGCCTACATGCTTCACTATGTACAGTAACTATGATTCATGCGTGTGTAAGTTCTCCACCTCTAGATGTAAATAACATATTCCTTCTGAGATATGGGTGCAATGCAAATTGTTATTTTGGGTGTAATATTGAATTGCATTTATTGTTAAATATGATTTGGTCTTACATGGGGTTTTGTGTTTTGCTTTAACTGGGAGCCCTTTGCACTTGTTCATGGCCATGGTTCATTAAACAATGTGAGTGAGATGGCCGTGACACAACTCACACTGACATCACATGCACACACACAATACGGTTTGCAGCAGTGCAGAGGACGCCCCATATGAGGGTTTGTCACATCATGTAAGCCGACTGAGGGGCTCCAGTGCAAGATGGTGACAGGTAGCAAAAGATCCAGCTTGTGTACAGGCCTTTC